CATACCACTTCTAAAGTCTGGGATTCCTGTGCTAGTACTGATACCAGCACCAGTGAACACAATACAATGCTTGCTTTCTTTRATCCACTCGGCAAGAGTGTCAACTTTGACAGAAAGCTCTGACTCGCTCTCAGAAAACTCTTTCTTTTCATCTTCAGCAACAATGTTTGGTGATGGTCGGGGTTTGGGCTGAACTGGTTTTGGTGATGTCGGTTTCACTATATCAAAAATAATGAAAATATTTAAATATCGATGCATTATTTTGTCATTACAGTCAAGACACTCCAGAATACTGGGAAATTAGTACATCCGATTATCGGATTCTCTAAAACTGCTTCCATTTTTCTGGTGATGATCTAAGTTATGCGCGTGATTGAAAATAGAAAGAAGAAAAAGAATGGCAAGTCAGGCTAGCCTGCGTTACATCCCGGAAATTTCACATATATCGAAGAATATTCCGGATCGATGTAACGCAGGCTAAGTTGGGCGCGTGCTGATGAGAATGTGTGGACAGGGGCGCGCATCCTCCATTGGTTAGTGGGTTCGTCTAATTCAAACTTCACTACCTGACGTCACATGACATCAATGACGTCACAGAAATATATTGTTGACACAAAAGAATGAAGGTTGGCGTCAAGCCATCATGAATCAATGTTGGGACTGATGCGCCGGGAATCCCCGTCATCAATGATAACACACCAGGTGCTGCCAGTTCCTCAACAATTAGAATTCTGAGTATCAATTGAAGGATGTTTTACGTTAAGAGTAGTATATCATTAGGGAAAATAAGCTGCCATTTTATCGAAATAAATTGAAAATCTCTCCTCGAGCAATCAATTCAACTTGGCTTGGCTTTGACCTGCCTTTTTCCGGGCAACGGTGCACTAACCAAGTCACGTGATTGGATCAAGCGGTACCGTTTTCGATTTTTTCACGCTCTCACCAGTGTTTTTGTCAATTATTGGGTAATTTAATGGATTGACTAAGGTGCACCTGTACGAGAATATATCTCGGGCATTTGTACGGCATGCTCTGTATCCAAATAATTTCTTGAACAACCTTCCTAGTCACTCGATTATAAATACATATTTAAGAATTAAAGTTTTTATCTTAAAGCAAATGGAAGCATTTCTTGATAATTATGTAGAATGAATTGAATCAAAATGAATCTTGAGACATTCTCGACTTGGTTTCTATTGGATGAAATATTCATGAAATACATACCATAAAAGCGCCCCAACATCGTAATGACACTGTGCCTTCCTTGACACAGCGTAGTTGTCAGTTTTCTAATCATCGTATTTTATACGAGCTACTTCTAGCAGCTGATCTCGGCCGTTTTGACCCAAAAGTGCCAGTAAGCAGAAATCTATCGCAGAACTTTGTGCTGAATYGGCAACTATGGTCAACTATCTTTACTGTCAAAACGTTGTACTGTATTATGATGAAAGTGCATTAGCTTGCATCGTAAGTTAGTGAACTACCTTTCACGTTAAGTGTAAAGGGTTTTAAAAATAGATTGAAACATCATCCCGTGTGGAAAAAGCGCTTTAGTCGACGAATTCCATTGCATTATCTACTAATCTATAATAGTGTAGAATTCCAAGAAAAGCAATGAAGCAGAAAAGATAAATAAGACAAAACACTGATGTAATAATCATGATGAATAAATCATGATCAACTGCGAAACAAATCAAAAGTTTTCAAAAGTAAAACAAATGAGATTCATCGCAATCAAAAAGAAATGACCCTTTTTAGTGTTTGTCATGAATRCAAAACGATAGAACAATCTCATTTTAGTTAAAATCATAGAAATGACCTAACAAACAAACCGCATGACATTAAGCCAACCAAAACGTCTGGATTCAGTGGATTGGCTATTCAGCACTGTAACTTGTGAAATCTCACTATGGCAGAAACATATCCAGTTTTCGAGTTGACAAATTTTTCAAAAGTTTACTCATGGAATTTGGAATCAAGACGGGGAATCCCCTTCAGCAATAACGGAAATTTAGCTTTCAAAGTAAARTATCAGTTTGGCGTCAAGCCATCATTTAAAGGTGAATGTTGAGACTGATTCGCCGGTATTCCCCGTCAAACATTCCAGTTGCTGGAAAGGCTTTTAAAAGTTAATTCTACAATATTCAACAGTCTTGTAAATCAGATTTACTGTGTAAAGTTATTCCCTCCAGTTTTAGTCCAGCGCGTTTCGTTCAACTTTCACTTCATAACGCATTTGTGGATTTTGTTTGCATACTTTGCAATTATTGAATAAAAAACGTTTTATATTTCTTTTATAAAATTTTTCGAGCGAAAAGAACATTTTGCCAGTAAGCCGTGTCTCTGTCCTCTGATATAAACATGGTCGTCAGCCAATCAGAGTGCGCGTTATTTGATAAAAATCGATTGAAACATCGTTCCTTTTGTAAAAGTGCTTTAGTCGCCGAATTCCTRAGTACTTTAATAGCGTAGAATTCAAAGAAAAGCAGTGAAGCAGAAAAGTTCGTAAATAAGAAAAACATTTAAGTAATAAGTGAATATGAAATCATGATCAGAAACAAATAAAAAGTTTTCAAAGTAGGACAAATGAATATAAAACGACCCTTTTAGCACTTTTATCTTATCGTATTAGAATGAATCATGAATGAAAAAACAATAAAACCCTTCTTCTCTTACAAATAGTCTCATTTTTGGTAAAATTCCAATAAGAAAAAACAAACAAACAAAACGTCTGGTGAAAAAAAGCAACTTGTGAAAATTTCTTGCGAACATGCTTTTCACATTTCCGTTGTAGGTCGCGGTTGTAGTTGTTGATATGAAGTGTCGCTATGGGCAACACATTCAAAATAAAATACTACGATATTTCCAGCGATGACTAGTCGATGACACATCGTAATGATTACGTCATAGGCCAAAAAAGAAAGGCATATGATAATTGCTCCCAACTGACACTGAATGAGTGATATTTTAATATTTTAAATTCAACCTGGTTCTTACAAAATTAATGAAAATACCGCATGTAYTCAATGCGAATGGCGTCATCATATAACGAGATACACATCAATTTCTTCGCTTTCATTAWACGTCACATCATAGGTCACTTGCAGCAGCCTGGATAAACTTCAACAAAGGATTTCTCATTAGTATCTTTAGTATTGTTCAGTTGACCTCCAACATGTTTGCTGGYCTTATATCTTCTGAATCTCATGAGAATGTTTGAAAACGATCAAAACACGAGCTTTTCATTAATTATTAGAGAATTATATAAATCAGGTGGAATTTCCTCACATCTACAGAAAAAGTGAATCAACAACAACCTGTAAGGCCAGCATAGATTCATGATCCAATCGGAAACAAACACTTTCAGTAGCTATGATCCTAATAATTACTGTCTCATTATTCATTTGTCCCATTTTGTTTTTGTAACTCGTAACGTTGGGCCCACAGTAATTGGTTATGCTGTTGTGGTGTCCCAGTCTACTATTTGTAATTTGTGTGTAATTTGATTATTTATAATTTCTAGTGGACAAAGCTAAATAAATAAATAAATAAATAAATTTTAAACACTTATAAATTTGTCACAAATTTCTAGTCGATTCTCCTGTATGTCGAGTGTAAATGCCTGCAAAACATTACAATGCCGCAATTCAATATTTAAATGTTAATGAAATTAAACACAAAGATAACCAAGCAAATATATTATAAACATATGAATATAACCTTTAGTAAGTGGCTGGAAATCGACTCCACCAGTAGTCCCATGCAAGTAGAGTTTGTTTAGATTTCTCTTTTTTGAAATAGCTAAATATATAATTTGGCCAATATCTTGAGTCAGTATAAAGCCTTATGCAAACTTCCAAACAATATCTACATGTATGAGATGCATGCTCCATTGATACTAATGATTTCATATGTGTTTGAATTCTTAAACAAATCATTCAATAAACAAAAGATTTTGTTGGTTTCATAGTTTTAATACATAAAAGAAAATCTTTTCTGATATTAACAAGTTTTAAAATTGTCAGCTTGAATTTACTATAATTTCTTTATGGTACTTCAGAAACAAATACTTGTCATCATTTAGCTATTTCAATAATAAACAAAAAATAGCATAATTTGAAAGGTGTCCTCAATAGATCTAGTCTCCCTTGCAAGAGTTTCAGGATCCTTTCCCAAAATGAAAACATGTGTGCAATAAGACTGTACTATTGGCAATAAAAATTTCCAGCAACCCAAATTTTTCAATGACATAATACAAATTAATGTGTTTTAAAGACACTTTATCAATCCTTCAAAAATTATTGTGCTTTTGTCGACACGAGAATGAGATCATTCCCAGGTCATTAGCCTTCATGGTGCATTATTTATATACCACTTGGCTTTGGKTCTTTTTTAGTAATTTTGATGCTGTCGACCATCATTTTTGCCATTTTYTCACTCATCTCTTTTTCCTTTGCAATGGTTTCTGCCAGTGCTTTCTCTGTAGTTGGGTAGATTCCATCCCTTACAACCTTCTCACATACCAGTTTCTTGGTTTCTTGTTCCTTCTCCCAATGAATGACATATTGCCTTTCTGGGTCATCATTTATGTCTGCAGAAAATGTGCTTGGGCTACCTGTGTCTACAGTGACTTGGAATGCACTGCAATGATGTATGTAGATAGATTCAAACTGGTCATTGTTTTCTGCATTAACGWGGAAGTTTTTTGACCCATCTACAGTCATTGTCCAGATCTGTYAGTTCCAAATTGAAGTGAAATCATTTGATTAAACATTTGAAATACTTAATCCAATATAATGGTTTCAAAGGAAACATATAAAAAACATACATGCACAGCTTGTTTCATGCGCTGATTAAAACGCTTGAAATTGTAACATGAACTATATGTGCTTGGTGCATGCATCCATTAACAGAAAGTTTGAATGACAACCATCTTACCTTGACATCCCCCCTCATATTAACCACTATATTCTCACATTTTATAAACTCCACCATCCCTGACAATAAATTACTTTTGATGTTGAACACACAGTCTTTGCAGCCATCAACGATGACTTTCATAACCTTCTTTTCGACTTCAAACTCGCAGTTTTTGCAGTCTTGGACGTACACGAGCGCTTTTGGTGACAGAGATTCGAGGACAACTTTTTCTCCATTGCGGTCTTTGATGGTATGTTTTGGTTTTTGAGAAACTTGTAGGAAATTAGGAAGACTCGAGACCTGATCCATGTTTTAGAGCTTGGAATAACTGAAAGATTTCAGCAGTCGAATCAGTGGTTTTCAATGAAGAATTTGCCTGTGTTGTGCCAGAAACAGCGGATGTCAGGATTTTTCAAAGTTAATTTATTCTGATGTCATAATAAGGGTCCTTTCCGGTTCTTGATCATGTCTATATTTGGTTACAGTAAACTGCTGAAAGTGCAAAATATCGTCAAATACTCCAGTTTCGAATTCTCCAATGCTGGCTGTRTTAGCCTCACTTGTGCGCCCAAAATATTCCTTAGTTGTGATCGTAAAAGTGTGAGGTTTCAAATCAAATTTATTGTCTTTCTTCACAAATTCCATGCGTTTTCTCGAGCTATCAATGAAACAAAAGAATATATTACTTGGTATTGAGGCTAACACAGAGCAAACCAGAACTCGAAATTGGAGTATTGTGGTTATAGGTGTTGCTAGATGTTGCCATAGAGAAATAAGTCGGCCGTGAAGGCTTTCAAACTTATAGAAAATGTTTCATCAAAATAGAATAGAATGATGGTTTTGCTTGACTTGTTTATTAGCCTGATGACGTTTACTATATTTTTACCTAAAATWATAGTTCTGGATGAAGGCATACATAAATTTTTGTTTGAAGAGAATCTGTTATCCTTCACGAGTTTGTAGGGTTCCTTGTGATTGGAGGAATAAAACAATGCTTATTGTTTCCTCGTGTTTTCTTTTATTTAACAAATATATAGCTAGTAAACCAATCGGATAAGATCTTGCAAAACCATGAAGTGCTATCCCTTGTATTTACATGCAATAGAACTATGTAACTCGCTCGCAAATGTGAACCAATCATTTGATTTCCAGGGCGTGGTGCACCCGACACCTTAATTAAACTCTTGACTTTGACTTTGACTCCGACGAAGGATTAACGTCCGAAACGTCAGTAAGTTATTTCACATACTTTTTTACGGTGTTAAATTTATCCTTTTACACAACTGTTACTAAAACTCTGCAAAACAGATTTATCTTTTCCAGAACACGGTCTGGTTTGCAATAGAACTAGTTTATGATGGCCAGTTATGATTTGTATGAAGCCCCTGTAAAATAGAGATTAATYMTTATGAACTTKTCTYCATTCGTCCGTATGAGCGTGACATGAATTGATGAATACAGGATGGTGGYGGTGTTCAGGGGTGTACATGCGCGYTTATGCTGCTACGCTTTTAAATTTTAAAGAATTGTTTTCCATCCTTTTTTTATGTAAAAAATCATAAATCCATCTTAAAAATAAAGACAAAAAGGGAAACAGCGGCAGTTTCTCAGTAGTTCCATTTACTAACCAGRCCGTGTTGGCTTGAAATGCAGRRSAMWAGACATAACCCTAGTTTATTTCAGAGTTTTGGAGGTCATACGAAGTCTTAGTTAAGCATTATTTAGCATCGAAGAACAATTTTGAAAATTCATACTCAATCTCGTGYSCGGCGTTCAAGACTTGAGGCTCTTTATTGGTTCTTTGTATCGAAAGACGATACTGAATCTCTGTGGCACCATTCTAAAAAAATGCATCGTCTGCAAAMATATATTGACGGTAAAATAAATGAGATAACTACAATTGTTTATTCTTATATTCCTCAATAAAAACACAGTGCATGTTGAATATAAC